AGTAACATTTTTATTAAACAATTGCTTAAAAGTTTATGTCTTTAAAATTTAAAAAAATTATTTTTGATTTTGAGATCTAAATTTAAATAGTAATTCATAATTAGAATAATTATTTTATTCAATTCATTGCATACATCGAAAAATTTGAAATAATTTTACAATTTTATAAAGGTTTAATAAAATTAAAACCCTGTATATTTTGTATATATATTTTCTATTTATATTTTTAAGTAAAAATGCTGTTTATTATTATTAATTCTTAATAAATATTAAATATTTTAATTTTTTTAAATAAATATTTAATACAATTATTTGAAATGACTAAAGTAATAGCTAATACAAAAAATTGTTTAAATATGAAATAAAAAGCTGAATAATGCTACGCGATGTTATGGTCCTGAATTGCAGAGATTGATCATGAAATAATTATGGTTAAACTGAATATTCTGCTATACGACACAGTAATTCGTTATGCAAAAAATCCCTTCATATATAACGTTTCCAAACATTATATAGTATACTCATGTGATACTATATAACAACCATACGAATATAATTCGAAAGACTGTCTGTCATTGTCCAAATACTCAATTCTAAAATTAGTCATTTATGTACGATATTTTAAATGTCATAGTTATTGATTCCTTTTAGTTAAAAATTTTTAGTATTTGAAATTAAGGATATCTTATTAAAAATTGAAATTAAATACATTGGATGCATAATACTTTCTGTAAAAATTAAATCAAAAATATATTTTTAATTTTGAATACAAAAACACAATGAAAATATTGCTTGTATAATAATGACACAATAAATGAAGTACACATTATTATTCTTCAGTATTCAAGAATAATATTTATTATCAGTGATAAAAGTCTTTATAATTTTAATAAAACATTAAATATCTGAAAAAGTGACGCAAACGATCAATTTTACATTTTAATGTAATTCAAATATAACCTTTTCTAACTCAACAATCTGGCGCCATCTGTCAGAATTTAACAGAACCCATTTACATTAATGACTTACATAAACATAATTATATAGTATGATATGTAAACTATGGTAAGAAGTAAATTTTTCTAACAAAAACGTTTTGAATTATACAAAGCATGTAACTACTTAGAACTAATTATATAAGCAATTAAATTAGAATTAAAACATTAATAATAATAATAATAATAATAATAATAATAATAATAATAATAATAATTCATTTACAAAATAAGAGACAAATCATATTTCAATATTTTTAATTAGGAGGATATTTTATATTTCAAGAAATGATTGTAAATCTAAATATATAGACATCGTAATATTTTTTTATATAAATTTTGAAAATTAGATAAAAAGTGTAAAAGCAAACGCTTGATAATAAATAGTGGAGTGACAAATAAAGAGTATCTTATTTTAAATATCTTTTTATATTAGAATTTCAAATATTTAAAGGAATTTTTATATTTATACATTTCTAATTTCTATTTGTAGAATATAATAGAATAATATAGATAAATAAGAATATGTAGATGGTACACATTTGGCATAACAAGTACGATAAATTAAATTTGATTACTTAACACTGTTTTAAAAACGGAATAAAGTGCAAAGTTGCCTTAAACTGTACATGAAAATTATTTTTAATTAAATTGTTTAATTAAATTATTAAAAATTGTTTTTAAAAATAAAAGGGATAAATTGTAATAAGCGATCACTGATAATATATTCCTTGTCAGGTAAAATTATCATTTTAAGTAATATCAATAAATTTTATTGTAATAAAAAATGGTTACCTTTTAATATTGTCTATCTTAATTACATAAAAGTAATTTTATTTAGTTGACATAAAACATATTTTTTAATATAAAAATATATGCATTTTCCTCGATTAAACGTTAATAAATATTCTGTATGACAATCTGAAGGATGACAAAGCATTTTTACTATTGTCAACATTGCTATTAACGTGCCAATCTATTCCAAACTTTTTTTGTACGAATAAATAACTTATTTTGAATGTCACAATATTTTTTAACTAAGTAATACGATGAAATTTTTATTGGTACAAATTAAAAATAAATTTTATGACTGTTTTGTTTTAAATATGAACCAGAAAATAATGAGGAGCATGAAAAATCAAATTTATCATTGAGTGATCGTATCTCTTTGTTTTTGTGTAAATGAGAGGCATTTGGTATTAAATTACTATCTTTCACAATTCTCGGCAGGATGTGGAAGTTTCTATGCATATCAACACAAGACTGGATTTATTAACTCTATGAAATTTCTTTAGCTTTCGCAACACCAGGATAACCGTTAGATCTCTTATTTTAAGAGAACAACGAATAATTTCAAAATCTCTTTGAAGATGAGATCGCTTCGTATATTACTGTGTTGTAAACGTTGTACTTTTAGGAAAGTACAAGACTGAATCACGCAATGTTGATCGTAAAGAAATTCTAAATGATCAAGAAATCAGAGATGATGAGAAGATGATCAGAGAAAAATCAAAATTTAGTTTACGAAATTCAATTAATATTTATCTAAGCTATTAGGCTCTTAGGCTAATATTTATCCTTACAAAATAGTTAAAGATGAATATTGTACAGAAAAATGTAATCAATATGTTTTTTCGGAAAAATATGTTAAGAATATACAATTTTCTTTTTAATAATATTTTATATAAATATTATAGAATATTTATCTTAATAAGAAAGTGTAATATATCGATATGTAAAGATATGAAAGAGTTGAAATGATTTAAAGAGCGTGTTGAATAATAAAAATGTAACAACAAAGTATTTTAAACACATTACACATTTAAATTCGATAATATAATTTCGAATGTTTCAAAAAGCAATTGAGTTTAATTTTCAACTAAATACCAAACCTTTAAAAATATTCAACATACACAAATGATCATGTATTTTTCCAAATGCTTTGTTTAATAAAATTAATGCTAAAATTTACAGACATGGAATAATTAATTGAAAAATTTTACAAAAATTTAATTTAATAATTGGTATGAAATCGTTATATTTCAAAATCATAAAATAATTACTTTTTTATATGATAATTTTATAACGTAATGGAAGATTATTATAATACGACTCTAAAGAAATTTCAAAAATACAATTGAATATAAAAAATACAAATGAAAAACAATTTAAATATTTTTTATTTTACGGTTTACAATAAGTATTATATGGAATGAAAGACATTTTCCATTAAAAAGGCGGCGGATTTCCTATTTATTTACAAATACATGTTACAAAAATATGCTAAAACAAATAAATGCTACAAATAATCATATTGCTGTGAAATCAATTTTTATAATTTTGTATTTTCATTGGTAGAAATGGCACACGTCTTCGTGTTTTTTTAAATTGATCAAAACATTAAATCGATCAATATTAGTGCTTGATAACAATAGCTTAAATTAAGTAGAAATAATATATCCTCAATATTATTCAATAATTGTTCTATCATCTTTCAATCGCTTTTTCTTACTCCTAAACAAAATCATTTTTATATTACAACTATTATAATATTAACTATTTTGAAAAAATCATTTGATAATATAATTAACAAGATATGAAGAAGTAATTCATAAGTTAGTAGTTCTACAATATGGTTTTTTTTTTTTTTTTTTAAATGAACAAAATATTTTGATTCTTTCAATGCCTATTTAGCAACAGAACATTTTTTCACATAATACGATTTTATAAAAATTCGTAATTTAAGCTATTATTTAAAATTTTCATAATTATCAAATACTTTTAGTATTTATCACAAAAAAGACAAAATCCTTTAATAATAGTTTATTGTATACTTTATGTTAGAATTTATTACATTATATACCCAATGAAATTTTTTATAAATTTCAAAAACATATAAACTAGTATATGAACATAATAAATATATTCTTGATATAAAAATAAAATTAATTTTTTAATCTCGTTATAGTTATTACGATATTAGTATTAAAGCAGAATAATATTTCTTTGTAATTTCTTGTAGTATGGTTCTTTGATGGAATTGGAAACTCATTAAAATATTAAATTTTAATGTTAATCATAGTCACATCCAATTCAATCTCAGAACTAGTAGATTTACGCAAATGGAACAAGAAGAGAATAATAAATATAATATTCACTTTTAGTACAATAAAAGTATATAAAAATTATCGTAAATTCATATACAGCTTCATTTGTAAGCCTACATATAAATTCTGAAAATTTTATCTGCCTTAATTAAACAGCAAATTCTATAAATCGAGACAATATAAAAGTAACCAATGTTGAAACAAACTACTCATAAAATGATTACCGACAATGAATATTAACACTGAATATAAAAAAAATATTCAATGTATTTCAATGGCTAATTGTATAAATTATATTATTAGTTACACATAAACAATTTATATTTCAAGAACTATAACTCAAAAGTTTTCAAATTTTAGATTATAAATTGCATAAAGAATTTTTTTAATAAAAATTTGTTCATTAATATATCATTTAGGCTATTATTCTCAAAAATTACAATTTTTTTTAACTTTTATTTAAAAAGCTACTTATTTTATATATTATTGCTTAAAATTTTCTTTCAAATACTATGAACTTTTAGAAATATAGTTTTGAAAAAAAATTGTTTCATTATACCAATAACAAAAAGGCACCCAAATAATGCAAGCTATATGTACATTAGTAGCTTTTCCTTGTTTCGTCAAATTCTAAAATGTATGGCGACAAGAGTCATACGAAAAAATAACTATTATAATATATAAACCAGAAATAGGCTTTAATACAAAATTAATTAATGTATATTTATCTATAATAGTAAAATAAGTAATAATTTGATATATAATCTATCTTTAGATGTCATTATACTGATTTCAATTTCATTTTAGAGAAATTAAACCCAAATTTAAGTTACCTATGACTTAATAAAATATTTGTAGGAAGTACAAAGTAGTAGAAACCTTGTATTTTTAGATTAAATTATGAATTGTGAAGAACTTTATTAAAAGCATTGTAAGATGTTTCTAAATCAAATATTAATTGCCTAACTTGAGTATCTGACAGTTCATCTGATGCTGACATATTACTTAACGTCTGAAGCCATTCTGCAACCTTCTGTTTTCCATCAAACTCACTTGGTAATATACTAAGTCTATTCATTGTATCCATTAAATCTCTAAGATCTGGATGAAGTTGATCCATAGCCTTAATTTCCAGACGCAATTTGTCCATAATTGTAATAAATAGTGATACAATATCAGCTATACATTTAGAAGTATTTCCTTTGTCATCTTTGATAGTTATAGGTCGATCTTCTTTGATTCGTTCAAGTGCAGCTGGGCAATCAAGTCGAAATGCTCTAGCAAAAGCGTCAATTGTAGGAAATTGATCGCTTTGAACCTATTTAGAAATATTTTTATTTTATGCTGTTAGTTTGACTTAGGTTCTTCTGTAATAAATGTTCTTACTTGCTTAAATGCAGCTCTGTATTGCACTAACAATTTACTGCATGCTGCTGTATATTCTTTAGGTGTAACACAATCTCTGATGTAAGCTTTTTCCAAATGTTGTAAAGTATTAACAACAGCGTATAAATCTGCTTGATTATCATACTTTTCACGTTCTCTAGCATTTTTGTATAGTTTAATTTCTTCGTAAAGCTCTGTACGATCTTGAGTAATAGACATGTTCTACGACAAAAGTATACGAAGAAAACAATGAATCATTCGATTCCTAAAGAAGGTTAGGATCCTTGTAAAAAATTTATGTTTAAATTTAGATGGATAGGTAGGATTCCCAGAGTTGGGCACCTCATAATTTCCATATCAGTTTGATTATGACATTAAGATCGAAGAATGAACGTTTAATTAAGCATTTGAAAAATTATTATAATTTATAGATCATTTCGTGTTTGATATATTAAAAAATGTTAATTTTTTATTTAAAACGAAAGTTAAATATGATGGTAAATTTTTACTTACAAATTATTTGAAAAAAGTTGAATATGATTAATTTATTAAATTGTTACAAAGCACTTCAATTGCTTCTTTTATATATTATATGAATAAATATGATTCAGACTTACGAATTGCTCATTAGTTAATGCGCATGCGTCATTGATTAAGTAATTCATATAAAAAAAGCTGAAGAAAATGCAAACGGAATATTTCAAGTTTGAATAATCTTATAAACTATTATTCAATTAATTTTGTTAATATTGAAAATCTTTCTTTTTAAATTTTATTTACGACACTTCCAAGCTTAGTACAAATAAAGTATCTAAGTGAATTCATCTGAAATTTATGTAATTTATCCGAAAAATTGTGAATTATTAATTATTTTATTGAAGAATTTCTGATTAAAATAATTATTGTATAGCTGATTAATAATTTCATCTTGTAAACGCTGTTTCATTATGTATACATAATTATCTTTAATATAAGATGTTTTTATATTAAAAATGTAATTTACTATTAGAAATCTTTTTTGAATATTGAAGTAAAAGATTTTCTTAAAATGTTTTGAAATAGTAATTTTCAAATACAACAGCGATTATTAAAATCTTATATTTTATTTTATGAAATAAGATTAAGTTTTTCACTATAAATAATAATAAATATAATCAGACATAAAAAAATATATTTATTTCACATTTGTAAATAGTAAATATATAAGGTATTGAATGAACAATGTTCCTATATTTCAATTTTATCAAAATTGTAAAAAATACAAGTGTTTCGCTAACATAATTATAGTTTTGATAAATTCATATGTGTACATAATACTGAGAGTATAAGATATATACATAATTACGATATGTTTGTAAGAATAATATTAACAAGCTAATAGTGTTATTTTTCAACATTTGAAATTGTTATATTATATTTTATACACTTTTTATATTTTTATGAAATTATAGAGTTCAAGTATTATATATTAATGCAAAATAATGCAAAATGTCTTTGAAACAATTTGTGGAATAATGTTAATTAAGTACAATATGATGTTATTAATATTAACATTTTTATACAATTATTATAAATATAAATATTTAAAGCGAATTAATAAAAATACTTAATTCTTTTACTTTTCATTAATCTAATAAAAAATAATTTATTGAACTAGTTTTGGTTACAACTTACTTATAAATTAAGTTTTAAGGAATTAATTATAGATTACGTTATACAATTTCGCAATTCTGATTGTTGTTAAAAAGAAGATAAGTACATTGAATTTTGTCTTTAAAATTATATCATAATTTTTTAAATTGAAGACTTATAGAAATTGCATAATTTCGTATGTAACTTACAAAAAAAGTCAACATTTTTTATTAAAAAAATTAAGCTTATTTAATTATTTCTTTCATAATGAATTGATTAATTTTCATTTATTTTATAGTAATATCACATTGTATATAAAATATTACTTTTAATCAATAAAAATTATAAATCATAACTTAATATTTAAGAGATAATCTAATAGAAATATATACATATGTATATATATATTACTAATTGAGATAAAATATCAAAAATATTTTAATTTATTGAGATTAAATTAATAAAAAAAATGCAAATATCTTTTACATATCACATTCATCATTTTCGTTTGATTTCATTAGATGAATTTCCATTGTTGAACACCATGCTTTTAAAGCATTTTGTTCAAGATTATTCCATATAGAACTCATAAATAAAACATAACATAATATCGCCGTTAGAAAAAGTCGTAATAAATTGAAACCAATACTGATTTCAAAATTAGTTATTAAATAATCCAAACCCATTGACCACATTAAAGGAATCACGAGAATAAAACTGATTAATAAATAATGTATTCGCTGTTTTCGTACATTAAGTAAAGCTGCTTCACAAATACTGATTGCTTCTTTTAAAGCTTCTTTCATATCAATATGAATTTTTTCACTTGGAGAACCTATAGACATATATTTCATATATATATTTTATTAAAAACAATTTTTTTTTAATATTTTCATTACCTTTAGTTAATTTAAAAGAAGCCATAATTGCTTCATGATCTGAGTAACTAAAATTCATATTTGGAATTCTTGTTGGGAATGGATGCATATAATCATATGCTTCAATCTGTGAAATAAATAAATCTTTAATTTATAATACAAAATAATAATTGTACATTAACTTTTAATTTGTATAATTACCTTGCATTGTTTAGAGCCTACGTACAAAATATGATCAATACGTTTACCTTGTGGCAATTTTCTAGCTACTCTTATATTCGTATAACTATTATTGGCACATTCGTTAGTCCCTAAATGAGTAGAATTTTTTGAACAAGCATCTATTAAGCCACCAATACCACAAATAATTTGGTAAGCTAAGTTTTGTGGTTCGGTGTTGAGATCACCACCTAATATCACAGCGTCTGCACCACCTTTGGTCATTCTAATAAATTGTGCAGTATCGAATGCCTGCATAACTCTATGAGCCGCATATTCGTCATTTTCTTTACAGTATTCTGCATGTAACTAAAATATACGTAAATTATATACAACAAAGGATTTGATAGGTTTTTAAATTTATCAATAAAAATACACACATGTGCAATGTAAATGTTGATATTAATATTTTTAATTCTCACTTTACATAAACCAACCCCTTTTCCACCAAACCAATCGCCATGATGAATTTTATGAACATAACCATTGAGAGGCCATTTATGAAACATCACATCTAGAATTAAATATCTTGAAAATATACAAATACCTGATCCAATTACACCACTAAAAAGAAAATTAAACACAATATTAATTAAAGTATTGACTACACATGTATTATAACATATTATAATATATAACTGTATTTTGTACAAAATAGAATTTTTTTATGAAATACAAATTTCATTAAATTAACGGTGCAATTAACAAACTTTCTATACATGTTTTAGTATACAATAACGATGAATTTTCATGATAATTATGTGACAAATTTGAATGTTATTATCTGAAAAGCCACTAATTGATTAAATTAATATTATGGTTCTGTATTATTGCAAAAGAATATTTGTATATTATGGTTCTAGTTTGAAATATCTTCATTTTTATTTGTAATATATATTATTCAAAATAATACAAAATTATTTATGGAATTTATTATTTATTTTACTTAAAAGTAATTGTAATAATTATTATATTCCAAATTTATATATTAAAATTTAAAAAAGTTTTGTATACAATATTATATAAATAACGATAAATAGTATAATTTGTGTATATAATATAAAACTTTGAAAACTGCTATATGCACATTAAAAATGAATGAACTTTTTTATTAAATCATATTTAACTTTATTACCAATATTTATGATCTAAATGATCAATGCAAATTTTATTATTTATAAAGTAATTTAATGTATGAACTAAAGTGTACCTATTTAGTATTAAAGCGAATGAAGAGTAAGTATAATAAGCTTATTAAGCTTAAGTAAGTTAATTTTCTCATTGGATTTTCAAAAAAAAAAAAAAAAAAAAAACAAGCATCGTATAATTTTAAATAATAAATATCCAATCTAAATAATAATTATAATTACTTGTATACCTGAAAAAATAGTGAGAGTATGGTAGTTTATCTTGAATTTTTGCATTAATTAATCGAAAATCATTAAAGGACCAAATTTCTTGTAGACAAACAAAATCATAATGTTCATCTGCAAGTTTATCAGCAATTGCATTTACTCGAATAATGTGATTTTTTGATATGTATGGAATTCCCCTAAATACAAAAAATCCAAATTACATTTCTGACGTATAATTTAGATTTAATTTTAATTAACATATAATATTGTTACTAAATATTGATACTAGATACAAGATATTGTATGTTATAATATTGTTACTAAAAAGGGCAAAATTCCGTTAAAAGTAACCTCTTTTATACTTACCAGCAGTTAAGAGTCAAGACCTTCAAAACTATTTCTTCTGACATATTTGCCGTTTTTAATGACTAAATTAATAACTAAAATAAAATTATTTGCTAGTGAAAATGGCTAAAACACAAAAATCAAATCCTACATTGCGCGTAGACTTCATACGATTAGGAATGTACAATTACTTATACATCGTAGGTGCTCTGTGTAACAAGTGTAGACATGACGGGGATAAGAACAATAGAATTGGTGAAATGAAGAAAGATAAGCACAAATTCGCAATTGTAATAGCTTAATCGGTAAAAACGACAGCATTTATGAATTTTCTTTTATCAATTGTTTTAAACATTAGTTAATGTTCGATTTTTAATGTTTTATTTTTATGGCTCGAACTGCCAATTCAATAGTTCAGTGGATTAATCTCTGGCCATAATGAATGAAAAAAAAAGAATGCACAAATGAAATGATAAAAGTATAATGTAATATATTTAAAGTCAATTATAAATTATTTGCTTATAAAATTATAATATTGTAGTGTTGTTGGTTACTTTTATTGAGATGGAGAATTATTCAATTATAGTAGTGTGAGTTCTTTCTTGTATTCTTGATTATCTGAATTTTAATTGTAGTTTTTGATGGTGCAAGTGAAAATAAAGTGAAATGACTGAATAGATGTTTAAAACGTATAGTGAATGATGATTGTAGACTGATGCCTTGAAGATTAAATAGTTTGCCCATCATAATGACTGCGTAATTGTTAATAGACTGGAATAAGAAGAACTGGTGGCTAAGAAAGACTAAGAAGAAAGACTGAGAAATGGCAGGTCTGCGTGTAAAGCGCGGCCCTTAATATTATCGCAGTAATGCTTGAAATGCCGGTGTTTTGTTACCGTGACGTCAACAGGGCATAGCCTGGTAGATTCGCTGCTATTGCTTTGTTAAAATAATTGAATCGCGCGTTCATACCTGTTCGATTTTAAAGGTTTAGTTTATGGCTCGAACTACCAATTCAATAGTTCATTGGATTAGTCTCTCTTACATGATAACTTCAAAGGAAATAATAAGTGATAAGGCTGAAAAATATTATGTATTTAGTAAAAACAATGTTTATTAATGTAAATAATTATAACAATATTGCACTGTTGTGTAGAGATAAATAATTCTATAGAAGTGTCAATTGATGTGTTCTTGTATTCTTAAATTATTGTAAATGCTATGGATATGACTAAGTATCTTGAAGTTGAAGTAATGCTGATGTTGTAAATATCAGCTGGTGTAGTCAATCAAGCATGCTTGTGAGGTAGCATGAGAAGATGGTAGTTGAATCAAGTATATTTGATGTATGAATAACCATACTTGATATGGTGTGAGATGTTTAATGGAATTTATTAAGTAATATTATAATGGAATTTATTAAGTAATCAATTGTGTCTTTAATTATGTAAGGGGACAGTAGAAGAATTTAGTCAAAGGTAAGAGTAATTAATGGTGAGATTTCTAACTCTTGAAGGATGTAATAATCTGTATTTATAGTCTATTAGTCGATCTGTTGTTGTCCTTGTGTGACAATGTGCTTAAGGCATAGCGTCTCTTGCGTCAGCTGTTGATGGCCTGTACGATGTCGAGGGATCGGTTTGAGAGAGTGTAAGTGTGCCCGATCGACTTTAGCGCGAGATGTGACTTGTTTATTTATTAATATAAAGGTGTCCCTGGTGAACTGCAGTCTAGGGGGTATTAGATGCTGTGTAGTTGATGTCCCCCTTGATTACTGTTCCATTGGCTAATCCAAATTATCTGAAATGTCGGGATTCAAGTTGGGTCCGGTATGCATAATATCGTTGAGAGAGAGAGAGAGAGAGGGAGAGAGAGAGAGAGAGAGAGAGAGAGAGAGTCCAGAGGTTGACTTGCAGGAACCATTGAATACCACTCTTAATTTGGTAGTAGTGTTGTCATGTTTGAGTACACCGTGGTGTGGCAGATAGTATTGAATTTGATGATTGGGAATTTGAGGTGCTTGTCTCATGTGGTCAAGATTCTTATATTCTATCATGAATTGTTGATATTGTTGTTGATAATTTTCTGCCTTTGAGAATTTTCTCACCAGGCTCTGTAACATGCGATGCTCGGTTTCGTGCGTCTCCCTAAGAACAATCGCGGGGGCATTGAGTGGAATGCGTATTATGTATCGTCCATTTGACATGCGAAAGTAATTGTTCTTGTAATGTTCCTCACACTCTTGCTCTTCTGGTGTGAGCTTGGGTTTTTCGTTTGAATGTATTTTCTCTAAGACCCAAAATGTTGTGAGTAGTTCATGCAGTGTTTCCTCATCATCATGCCAGGATACATGAAATGCTGTTACCATTGAATATTGATTAGACGTTACTGGTCCCAACACAAGCCATCCAAAAATGGAGAATTAAGCCATCGGTAAATGCGGAGAGTCGGTGATTACTTGAGGCTTAATTATTTTTCCATACATATCAGCTCCTAGATTGATATCCATTGCTCGAGGTACAAAATACTGTGGGTCTACTAAAGGTATGTCTTTCAAATGTTACCAATCATGCACTGCTGGTTCAAAGGAAGGTATCACTTTAGTCAGTGACTTTAGGATGTGAGCCTGTATTATAACCATAGAGTTAGAATGTATTGAATGAAGTGTTAATGACACTACGCCTTGAGTTTTAGTCATGAGAATTCCTCCAATTCCATACACGTCGATACTGGAGTCCTTTTTTGGAATATGTAGGTTTCGAACGAGGCATCGAACTTCAAACGAGAGTTCCGACCCTGTATCAATCAGTATACGAGCTTGTTGAATTATCTTGTCTGATCGCAATTCTGCAATGGCGGTGGCAAGTAATGAACAATTTACATGACTGTTTTCGATGATTGCATCCTTCTGTCAACTGGATGATGAGGTTATGCCTTTTTCGCAAGAAGGTTCGTATGTAGCATGGTGTTATGGTTTTTTTGGCATTTTTTACATTTTGAGCTTGTTCTGCAAAGACTGATGTCGTGGTGATTTAAACAGTTTACGCAGAGTCCTCTTTCTGCTACAATTTTCTGTTTTCCTGAATCGGATTTACTCCTTAATCGATCATAGAGAATATCGGATGTTCCCCGTTGGAATAGGTACAGTCTTTTTTAATTTGAAATGAAGAAGGTTTCTATTGAGGTTTCTTTAGAGATAATTAGTAACAATTAGAGGACCTTCCCTTTTTTGAGAACGATGATGGTATTGATCTAGAATCCATCTTTGATGGTTTCAATGAGTATGTAGCAGGTTGATTTACCTTTTCACCTTGTCTTAGTGATCTCACCCTTGTTGAGAGGAACGTTCTTAATTAATCTAATCGTGGATAGGTAGTACACATCCCGAGTGAAGCTTCCCATAGCTCTACGGTGACGCGGTCAAAGTAAAGTGAGATCTGATGTACCAATATATAATTCCATAAATCTGGCAGTATATTCAAGGAGAGGAGGTGCTTGATTGCTTCTTCTGATCTTTTGGCTAGATTTTCTATAGTGTCTGCATAACCTTTTATCGGTTTTACTGACGGAAATAATTTAAGAAGGCCAGAACGGATTGAGAGACGTTGGTTCTTATACTGCTGATTCAGTAGTTCCCGTGCTGGTGATAATGATTCGTTTGTCAGTGGGAGACCTTTTATTAATGATAAGGTTGTTTCGTCTAAAGAGGTGTAGAGGTAATGCAACTTTTCAATCTGAGAGATGTCATTGTTTTTTTAGAACGAGTACAGTGAAGAGATCGCTAAATGCATCACAATCTTCTTGCTTTCCGGAAAATTTAGGTAGTTTAAGAACTGGTAAACGGCTTCCGGATGTTTTTGTTAATGGTGCTGCAGCCTGGTACTCATTGCATTCGACCATGTATTGTTGTCGAAGCGCGTTGATGATACCTCTAGTGGTAGTGTATTGAACTGTTTCTCTGGTAAAAGCATCTGATGAAAGATATTCGTGATCTTCATCATTCGCTGGCCAGATGATCTCTAAATACGCGTGTTCCTTAGCAAAGGCCTTGTGAATTTCTTCTGCCACAGAGTATGAGTCCGAGAGTTCCTCTACTGTGACGTTGGTTCCCGGTGTGACATATTGTTCAGCGAGGGTCTGTAATAGATTAATGTGCTTAAATTGTGTTTTTATTTTCATTGAAAATTCATTGTTT